TAAGTTCAGTACTATGGTCCACTATAGAGTTGATTTTTAAGTCATCATGGATCAGTTTGTTTCTAATGAAGTTTTGAGCATTTACAATACTTCCCAGAATCACATTCCGTACTACCTGAAACTTGTGGAAATCCGCATTTGTGGCTGAGACCCAGGCTGGAGATGCGTAGCTTAGAAATGGCCTTATAATGTATAGGTAAATCCTTTCTTTTTGTTAAGAAACAATACAGAATAGTTTCCAAGGAGTACAGAAAGTTGGTTGGAGATGCCACAGGTTTTTCCAATGACGTGCTTAATATGACAAATCCATGTGAACCTTTAGTTAATAATAATCCCCAGATAACTAACAGAAGTTTTCCAAATACGTAGACGTTGTGTAGTGCTATTTGCCGAATTTTGCACCTCCTGACAACTAGGAGCTTATGTTTGAAGGCATTTATGCTAATCTTCCATTTCCTGCACCAGGCGTCAATATTTGAAACAACATCCTGGAGCTTTAAGATGGAATTACTGGGTTGGATGGAGCTGAAGGCTACCGTTGCATCATCATCATAGCAGGCTGACTTAGAATTATGATACAGTTTGTCTCGAGAAAAATGATTCATAAAAAAAGGCAGAGAACTAGCGCTAAATAAGAGGCCTGGAGCGCCCCTGCAGTGATATTTTTGAAGACTGAGAAACATTCCTCTGACTAATAGATAGAATAGAAGACCGATAGAATAGAAAGGAATTGAGCTGAAGAATAATTTTCTGACTAAAGTTCATCTTGATCAGTTCGTAGATCAAGCGCTTGTACCAAAGGCAGTCGAATGCTTCCATCACGTTTAGGATAAGAGGTGCCGTAAATTTCTTATGGTGCAGAGCTGTCGCGGTGAAGTCAAATAGCCTGACTAACTGTTTTGAAGTGGAGGGTTGCTTTCTGAATCCGTATTGGTTAGGGGGAAGTAGTTGAAGATAGGGATGCATTCTAAATTTCGCTGTAGCAAAGGGCCAACATTCTCTAGTTTGGTACTGTCCTTTCCAGGCTTGGCGAGAAAAAATATTTTTGCATTTTTCAAGGATTTGGGAAATACCTTAGCGTCATTCAAACTTTGATAATTCCGCTGAATTGGGCAATAGTATTGGAAGGAAAACTGCATAACATGTTGTTAATAATTCCAATCAATGCTTGACGCGTTTTGTCCAACTTATATGTCAACATTTTAATGTCCAACAACTTATGTTATTATATTTTAAATTTCACCAGGTGTACTAAGGCCAGGAATAGGGCTTGCTAAAAAGGCACAAATCCAAGAAACAAATCATTCTTCTGTTTGCGTGATGAATTCTGGGTCCACTTGTTTCACTTTAGGAGTGAATTGCTGTTTTAAATGTTCAATGAAAATTCTCACTCTATCAACATCTGAGTATGCAGATAAATTTACAGCAGTAATAGACGGATTCCACTTGTGTTTGCTCTTAAGGGGTTTGAGAAATTTCCTAGAAAGATCCATCTTTTAGCTCTATATCTATAATTTTTTTCTTCCCACTTTTCTGTACGGATTTCTTAATTTCTTTCTTAATATTTTTGTTAACGTGATATAACTCTGTTTTGAGTGCCGTATCCCATTTAAGATTCCATGCACAACGTAGGAGATTTTTATAGTTAGGTGCTTTATTGTTTTCGGCAGTTTTCTTACAGAGCTCTTTTACAATGTTAGTGGCTTCATGATAAGCATTGTTTAAGCCTATGATAAGCTCATAAATCGTTTTATCAACATTCGATATCAGTGTGATTTGAGAGAACTTTCCTTTTAGGCGGATATTTGAGATTATTAGAAAAAACAGCTAATGTGTATGTGTGCTTTAATCTTAGGCTACTTGGATTTTTGTGATACCAAATACAGCTGTGATTGGGATGTGACCCGATGGGAGCGCATCCATAGTACCTATTGCCATAGGGATGCCAGAGTTAATGAGTATTATGTCGAGAACGTCCGGTTGTCTTCATGGGTGAAAAGCTCTGTATATACACTCATGTCCATAAATTAAGGATAACTCGGAGTCACGCGGAAATCGAACTCTAAAATAATATATCACCTGTAAAATCACTACACACATCTTCAAGAATTATATGCAAATTTCAGGAAGTAACCAGATGACACCGATGGTACGTCACAATGACGAGAGTGTAAGAGAGTGATATATAAGGAATACAGGCAAAGAAGTAAAATTGTTCGCAGGCGCTTTATAAGCATTTCAGTGCAATAACCGAATAGTTATGACACAAAGGACGCATTTGGATGATTTTTTACGTGGTAGAATTATCGGCCGTCTGGAATGTGGGCGTATCCAAATGGAAGTATCAGACGAACTTGAAATTTCCCAGAGTGTCATCTCCAGACTTTGGCAACGATTCCAAGATGATGGTAATGTGAGTAGACGTTACAGCACAGGTCGTCCCAGAGATACAACGCCGAATGAGGACCGGTATTTGGCAGTTACTGCCAAAAGACACAGGCGGAGCACAGCCTCAGACCTGTCTCGTCAGCTCTCTTCAGCCACTGGTACGACAATTTCAAGGCAGACCGTGTACAGACGCTAAGGGCAGATTGGTCTATATGCTCGTAGACCTGTCAGATGCGTTCCACTTACTGCAACTCACTGTCGCCCGTGGTTAGCCTGGAGTAGAGAGCATGCATTGTGGACACCACAACAGAGGGCTTATGTGATGTTTTCCGACGAGTCCAGGTTTAGCTTGCAGTCTGATTCTCGCCGGACTTTCATATGGAGAGCTCCAGGTACCCGTTACCACCAAGAAAACATCATTGAACGACACCGTTACGGCGGTGCAGGAGTGCTCGTTTAGTGTGGAATTATTCTGGGTTCCAGAACTGACCTGCATGTTCAAATTGGAACCATGACAAGCCAAATCTATCGGGACGTCATTCTGGAACAACATGTACGTGTTTCGGAGCGCCATGGGCGCACAGTTTGTGTTTATGGATGACAACGCCCGTCCTCATCGTGCAAACATCGTAAGCGAATGCCTTCCATCGAAGGATATCACCCGTATGGACTGGCCAGCATTCTCACTGGACTGGAATCCTGTAGAGCACGTGTGGGACATACTTGGCCGATGAGTTGCAGCCCGTCAACCTCCTCCTACATGTCTACCGGAACTTCGGAGAGCATTGCTTTTTGAGTGGTGTAATATCCCCCAAGATCAGATCGATAATTTGATACTCAGCATGCCTAGGCGTTGTACGGACTGTATTGCATCGTTTGGAAGACATACAATGCATTAACAATCATACCAACCATGTTATATTGTTTTTCTGTAAATAGATTTTTTTTTAATTTGCTCCAGGGAGAAAAAAAATCGCTAATTGTTTTAATAATATCAAACATATAGCATCTTTTTTTGTTCTTTACCTTTTGTTTAATAAATAAGCTTTACAAATAAGTCAAATTTGTTTTGCTTCTAAGTCTTCCTTTGCCTGATTTTGCATTATCCTTAATTTATGGACATGAGTGTAGTTTTCTTAGGCGCATAGAATGAGATGGGATTATTGAAGATGAACTGGTGCAGTGCCTTGCCCTTTAAATTAGTGTTTCTACAATCTCAATCAGTGGGCTTTGCATTTAGATCTCTGCCAACAATGATAGGCATGCTGTCGGGAGTAATTGAGAAGAGGAAGCTGTAAGTCTGTTGTCTGGGAAAGGGTGTATACTGCAGCGAAGAAAACGTCCGTGGCGTAGGAGGAAGACTGAGACACCAACAATCTCTTTGACGTGATTTTTGTTGTTGTCCTGGAAGCTAAGCAAAAGGAAAATTGTTTGTTTACATAAATCAAGATTCCGCAGTCTCTTTTTAAAAAAGTAGCTTGGTCTTATCTATGCTTAAGCGGCAGTTTTCTTTATCCAAAATTTGCCTGCAGCACGCACCGATGAGTCATTCAATTACAAGAAGTTATTTGCCCCCTGAGGAAATCACTACTCCTCGGAATCGACGCCTTCAACTATATCCCAGCATCAATAAGATTTAACACCTCGGTTTAAATTTAAATCTTTCGTAGCTTTTTTCTTGAAGCTCGGGATCAGTTTCCTTAATTTCTACAAGAAATTTTGATTCCCTAATTATCGAGTGTGAGTTCCTGATTATGGAAATGCAGGAGTCTTATAATATGCTAACCGCGTCAATTTCTGAATTAATTCTGCTTCCAGTGGGGCTCGGAGCTTAGGTTTATAATAGCTTCTATTAAAAGAGAAATGAACTGTCTTCTGTATTAGCTGCAGAGTTCGTGATCTCTGGGCCCACCAGCGGCGAAGCAGTAAAGTCACTGAACACTGCTAGTTCGATCCGGGACTCGAATCCCCGCGAATGGGCAGGCTGCATGGGCACTTCCGTGGTTTTCACCCTGTGTAACGTGTATACGAGGTAGTTTCCCTTAAAAAGTACTCTACGAACGCATTCCTTCCCTTACGCAGATAGCTCTGGAATGCTGTATCATAATTACATAAACCAAAACGCATAGCCTTTCCTTCCTTCTGAGTAGTTAGAAAGTCCTCCACGAAGGCATCCCTCCCCTTAGGCAGATAGCCCTAGTGTGCTTTGCCATAATTAAATACACCAACACCAACCAACCTTCTGAGTAGAGTACATAACATTTCCCTCCTTCCTAGCCCATAATTACAAAAAGCATAAACTATTTCTCAGAAGCACGACTAAACCGCATAATCTTTTTCTTACGGTTTGAGACAGGCGATGGAAGTGCAAAGTGACATAAGTCGAGACGACGCAAGTTGTTTTATTTCTGTGTGCGTATTGATAGGCGAAAATGTGTAACAAATGCTGAAAAAAAGAAGTAAAACTTGTATATTTATCTTGCATTGCTTTATTTCAAATAATTCGCTAAAATAGTATTATGATATTTATTATTATGTTAACTTTACTAAAATATTAAACTAATTTTATTATGTTTATATTATTATTATAATTCATATAACTATATTTATAGGAACTTACGAAAAGGTGACTGAAGAAGAAGAAGAAGTATATGAAGTAATCAATATACATAAACTAAAAAGTGCTGTTCCAAATCTACGGGTGGTAAACCTATATGGGATTATTTTCGTCGATGACAGTCATGTTGAAGCTCTTAGCAGCAACTGTATTCAGCTAGAAGCCCTAGCAATCAACTTCTGCAATAAATTCACCGGGAGTACATTGAAGCTTCTGTTACAAAGATGCAAGAAATTGAAGTGCCTCCTCATGCAGCAAACTTGTACGTCACAAATTCTTCCTTAATATTTTAAATCATGCTTTTAAGTCTAAATGAATATCACATTTACAAGGTAGTTCTTCTTTTGTTTAGTTATAATTATGTCTTAGTCTGTAAGTATTATGTCTCGAACATTATATTTATAGTTTATGGCGTCTCGGATTCTTGGGTAACATAAACTATACGAAATATCTTAAGACTTCGAAGTGAATTATCATTATGTCTCGTAAAGTACTACAGTGACCGGAAAAGGGTATAAAGGACCCTTTTATTTAACTCAAATAAAAATTAATAGAACGCACCACTCGTGCTCACAGAGACCAGCATTTATAGTTTAAATCAAAAATAATGAATTCGATTTAACTAAGTAAAAGAAATTTAGCTTAACAGCTACACAATTAGAGTAAAGCGCAGGTTGGCTCTAACCTAAATCGGAGTGGCAAGCCTAACGGCGAGATTAACGCAATGCCCCAGAATACTACTCCCAAAAGAACGTAATCAGCAACGTGGCCTTCAAGCGGGCAGAACACGCTCTGATTCTACCCTCTAAAACCTTACTTTAAAACCTATGTTCTTTCTACCTCATTTGAATACCATGCGAGACAGAAATTTACATTCTGGCGGGGAAATGGGAAACGAGGGGGACAGGAAAGCAATTTAAAATAAAATAACTGGTTAATAAACTAAATGAGACCTTCTAATTTTCCTTGCCAGAATTTAAGTATACCCAATAGCAGACATTAACGACCTCGTTAAGAACTTAAATTCTAACAACTTTCTGGGGCAACTTCTTTCAATAATATAGAATTTAAACTAAAAGTAATTTTACATTTACATGACAAAGAGCTGAGCCTTGTACACATTTCTTCCATTTACAATATTTCAACTTCTAAACTCCTTCCAGATATCTGGACGGAAAATAGCAGAAAATTTCAAAACATAGTACAATACTTCAGTTTTAATTATTTCTTCTAAACCTTTTCTAATTTAAATAATTCATTTAAAATTTATCCGAACTTTCACTCAACTCATGTATTCTGGCAATAAAATATCTTCCCCAGTGCTCTCCAGTAAAAATGCACTGCAAGGGTCGAGACAGTGTCTTTTCTACAAGTGGCACAACTCTACCACCTAACCGACAGTCTGCACGTTAGAGAAATTCGGATTCATTAGACCTAAAAAACACCTTACTTACGTAACTGGACCTAATGCGCTAAGAAGAGCGTTCTTTAAACTTTTCGGTTGTCGGCTGGAGACCCTAACCATGCACACAGCTAGCTCTTTGTTTTTAACTTAAATACCTCTTAATTTACTAGCTTGCATTTAGACGTCTCATTTACATCAAATACTTCGATTCTTACAACTATACAAGTCTTCATTTACTTTAACACGTATGCTATTTATCAGTATTGTTAACAGTTACGATAGAGAATCATTATACATAACATTAAATTAAGAAATAATTCAGCTTGCGCTTTACATCAAGGCACACAAGTTGCTTAGAACTTCTTTGCATTTTTATTAACATTTCCTCACATCAGTCTCTCAAACTAAAATAGAGTTCTTGTGTCTAAATTACGTTAGAATGAGTATGAATAATTGCAATTGAACTCCCTAGCATTTTGCTATTGAAACAACTGAAATACCTCACTTGAGGCAAAATTGAAAGTAGACTAGCAACTCATGTACTTTTAACCATGAAATAAAACTAAATCTTGGTTTTTATTTTCGATAATCCTCCATTCTTTAATTCACGAACTCTTGCCATGTTGAGTAGACTTTTGCTTGTTGCATATGGAATCTTCTTCGAGGCTGAGTATCCTTCTCTACTGAGGCTTCCCTTTTCTTGGGGTTATCTCAGATTCTTGGTACCTTCCCTCGACGTTGAGAATTCTTCGTGTCTGCTAGTCGCTTCTTTCGCCTTTCTGCAGCAATTCAAATAAAATGGAACACTGGGATTTCTGCTGTCTCATCTGCATCGTGGAGGAGTTGCCCAACTTGGCATTTGGCTGCGTAGAACCTTCGGTGTCGATTCCCCGATATACTTGGACCCAGGCGGGGGGGGGGACTTTTGTTCTAACTTTAAATGTACGCTGAATATCCTTTGGTCGTTCGGGTGCCCTTCTGGACTCCTTTCTTTTAGGCTGCTTCTTGGCCTCTTGTTCCTTCTAGATTCTGATTGATTTATTATTTTGTTTGGTTTTTCTTCTGTAATGTTATTTTCCTCTCTTTTCCTATCCGCAGTGTCAGTTTCGAAGTCAGCTGTATTCTGCCTCTATTCCTCGCTGGCTGCGCTTCTTCTTGTCTTTCTTCTAATATATCTTTGAACATTTGCCTCTTATTTCTACCAGAGTATGACTTGATCTTGACTACGTTTTCCACTATCTGTTTCCCATTTCTGTCTTTAAAATAAACTATTGATCTTTTCAATTAACTATGGGTCTTGAAATTGTAGACAAAATTTAGCTACCCTATCTTTTCCCGCACATGATAATGAATGCTTCGCCTTGAGCACTTGGTATTCCACTTTATAATTCATTTCCCGTCTTTTTTTTTATCATAGTGCAGTTTTTGATTTTTCCTTGCCATATCAGAATTTTTCACTCCTTTTATTATTTCCGTTTATTAGTGTCTGTATCTCTGCCATGTTGAACTCTGGCGCTCTCTTCTACACAAACAATAATTTATACAGTAGCATAATTAGTTTTTGGCCTAAGAATAGTTCTGTTGGAGGTTTTTCTATCGTACCATGCTTAGCTGAGCTTAAGGTAAATGCTAACTCACTGACCTCGCTGTCACAGGGCTCATGAAAATTTTTCACATACTAACGTATAATTTGAACTATATTCTTTTTGAATACTCTGCTATGTTTGGCTGCAGCCGATAAGGGACCATAGTTAAATGTCGTATGCCAAACCCTGGGCATTGTTCCTCAAATATTTGCCTAATGAACTGTTTTCCGTTATCGGATATTTCTTTTAAAGGAGCTCCGTATTTTAAAATACGGAGTATAGTATAACATTTAAGAAAAAATCGGCAACAATTTTAACCGAGGCTCTTAGGGAGATTATTTCTAACCATTTAGAGTAACGGTCTAGAGCAACGAGTAAATATCTTGAGAACATTTCGAAAACGTTGCCTTTATGCTATTTAAGTACCTGGCATGGCATTCTGAAATCTTACTTTAACTGACAAGTATGGCACGGCCTGACATACACACTTAAAAACTTCTGCATTTGGGGAAAATATACCTCTACGAGAACTCGTTTTACTGTTTTCCTCACTCCCATGTGGCCATAAATGGGAGAATCGTGTAATTCCCTTAGAATATTTAACATTAAACTCGCTGGGATAACCTGTCTAAGCTAGTAATTTTAATTTAAGATTTTCGCATAAAATGAAAGATTATCGATAAGTTCATAGTTCACGGCTCTATTTCTGATGGCCGTAACGTTGGGATGCTCATGATGATCAGGATCCTTCAAATAAGAATAAATGTTTCTAAGCTCGAAGTCTCTTTGTAACTCTTGTGCGATCGTCTCCCTTGAGTCAAGAATTTTTGCCATAAGCGCAGCACATTTTACTGTACTTCCTTTCCGGGAATGTGCTCAACCGCTTGCCTGTAGAATATATTTGAGAAAAGCATGCCAAAAATGGAAATTTGTTTCCTCTTTAAATTTGTTCGTTATTATCATCAAAATGTTAGAAATAGATTATTTTTTAAAACAAATTTTAAACGAAATAAATGCTATATTCAATATTTTTACATATATGGGAAATGTTAATGGATTACAGCAATTTGGGGCTTTAATTATAGCAAAACTAATCAAGTGACATAATTTTCGAGATAAATATAATACAATAATATTATTACTTATATCAGCTGTCATGAATTTCATATCCCTCAGATTTTTACCTGAGTGGGTCAAATTTTGTGCAGTTTTACATTAGGTTGTGTTTCAAGGTCGACTTCTTCATTGTTCACAAAACGTAAATATTTTCTTATCATTTGAAATCTGTCGTAGGACATAACTTTGCGAAAGAATGGAGTTTCATTACATGTCGTTTTTAATCAAAACATTGAGACATCGGGCTTCTGAATAATACCCTGTAAAACATGAAGCAACAGGAAATATCTTATTTCATAGTCATTTGTAGGCACCCACATTTTTGATCGGCTTTGGCTTCAGATGTTGCCTTCAGATGTTTCAATGCATTGCTGTGCATATATATTAATCTCTTCCGTAATGGAGTGAATCAAATTGTCATCGAAAAATAGTTCAAAATGTTGTTTATCTTGAATAAAAGTTTCAATTGTTGCACCCACTTGTGGTTGTTGGAATGGGACTCTTGGAGCGGCTGGAGGAAGGTTATTCAAACATAGCGGCATCCAGGTTCGGCAGTAAAGAGTTTCACTTTCATCGTCACTTTCGGAATAATCATACTCTTCTTTTGAAATACTGGTATCTGAGTATGAAGAGCCAAGCAAATATTTTTCATCGTAGTCTGATTCCGACACTGCGAACATAATGTGGTTATTTGGGAAGAACTGTAAAATTACAAAAATCCGGCAAATGGTGCAAAACTGTCGAATATTTCGCGGGAAAGTATCGCAATCTATTGGAAAAATGGTAAATTACGTATTATGCATTGGACGAACTGAGTTTGGGCTTCAAGGAATTGAAACACCGATTTTTCTCTTGCCCGAACTCAGGTCGGGCATTCCAAAATTGGCGTATTTGCGTTGCCCGAACTGAGCTCAGGAGTCACAGGCAAGGAGTTAATAATTAAATTCCATTCTTGAAGTTTAAGGGCCCATCTGATCAATCATGGTGGTAAATGCTTTCCTGAATATAAATGCGCTATGGCCGCGTGATCAGCATAAACTGCATTAGGCTCTTGCAAACTCTGATTTTTTGTACTGCTAACAAAGCTGAGAGCGTTTCTAACTCTGTCGCGGTGTAGTTTCTCTGTGTTGGATTAAGGAATTTGCTAAAATATGC